GATTCAAGAGAAACTGGTCGCTGGCCTCCCAGCCACTGTATGGCAGCTGGGACTAGAGCTCAATTCTACCTGTGAAGTCCAAGGACTTGTAGTGGTACACAAACCACTTATTTAAAAATTTAATAAGGTACTAGGAATATGAGAGATCACTGCTGAGAACACATTAAACTGCATCTAACAGTCCAGGAAGGTACATCTAGTTGTGTGCACCAAAGCAAAATAAAACCAGGCTGCTGTGCTTTTGAGTTCTAAGACTGCATGTCATGCTTTCTTCCTTCTTTCACTGCCATTGTTTGCCACTGTCCACAAACTGGCTTCTAAAACCACCCCCTCACCCTACCTCTCAGAACTCTGACAAAATTATGCCACAAACAACGCTCATTAGAATCAGGTCAGAGTTTATTATAAGTCGTCTCCGGCTGGAGGCCTCTACTACAAGTAAAGGACAAGAGTTTTAGAGCATGGACACTAATATGTCCTTTGCCTCCCTTTCTGGCTTCGGGCTCTATTTCAGATAGGTGAGGTTCTCTATTGGGTGAAGTGTGTGCTACCCCATGTGCTGCTACAACTACAGTGATGGGAGCATGTGCCAGGGACACTTGGGCAACACTGAAAAAGAAACACAAAACTGTTTATGAGACCTTCTTAAAGGACACAAGAAATAATGCACATGAGAAACCCAGAAGAGCAAGAAAATTCTGAAACCTCTGGATTTGCTAAACTGAGCAGGACAGGAACTGAAAATTCCAAGACAGAAAATGCTGGCAGCAGCAGATAAATACAGCTGGAAGAGAGGATGAAAGAGGCAAGGAATGGAAAAGAAAACATTAGGTAACCCAGAGAGTGAAGGAGCGTTAACAAACTATTGGTTTCAGGATGAGAAAAAATTGTAACATTTTAAAGCTCAAGTAGTTTCTGACAGGAATAAAACAGGCCTCCATCACAGGGGTCATTTTTGAATGCTGTTCTGAGAACCGGTCATAATAGTATTGAAACATCTAAAACAGTTCAATGAAGTGTAATTTTTGTGTAAACACAGACATATAGATCAAAGGAACAAAACAAAAAGCCCAGAAACAGAACGTTATTATTTTAATGAAATTATTTGATAAAGGAGACCCATACATACATTTTCTTTCCTTCACAGACTTAGCAAATGGTGTTGGAACAGTGGGCTAGAAGATTTAGGGTTTGCATGAGAAGAGGGGTCTAAATTAACTTCAGTTAAGTTTAGAAGGGGTTGTTTTTTGTTTTTTAGTTCAACTGTGTCCTTATTGATTTTCTCCCTTCTGGGTCTGTCCATTTCTGAGAGGTGTATTGAAGTCACACACATCTGTGATAATAGTATCATCGATTTCTCTGGGCAGTTCTATCAGTTTGGGCCTCACATAGTTTGACGCTCTGCTGTTAGACGCATATACATAAGAATTGTTAAATCTTCTTGGAGAGTTGATCCTTCTGTCACTAGGCAATGCTCTTCTTTATCCCTGATAACTTTCCTTACTTTGAAGTCTGCTTTCTGAAGTTAATATAGCTACTCCTGCTCTCTTTTGACTAGTGTTAGCATGGTCTATGTTTCTCCATCCATTTTCTGTTCATCTATATCAGCGGTTCTCAACCTGTGGGTCGTGACCCCTTTGGGGGTGGAACAACCCTTTCACAGGGGTCGCCTAAGACCATTGGAAAACACATATATAATTACATATTGTTTTTGTGATTAATCACTATGCTTTAATTATGTTCAATTTGTAACAATGAAAATACATCCTGCATATCAGATATTTACATTATGATTCATAACAGTAGCAAAATTACAGTTATGAAGTAGCAATGAAAATAATTTTATGATTGGGGGTCACCACGACATGAGGAACTGTATTAAAGGGTCGCGGCATTAGGAAGGTTGAGAACCACTGATCTATATGTATATTTAGAGTGAGTTCCTTAGAGACAACATATAGTTGGGTCGTGTGTTTTTTTTTAATCCATTCTGACAATCTCTGTCTTTTAATTGGCACATTTAGAACAGAGTGGCAACTTCCAAGCTCCTGACATGTGAAACCGGAAACTGGATGTCAGGTTCAGAGTTTTGCTTGTTTGTTCCTCTAAGATTTGATTTCTTAAAAAACCAATAAATGTTAAAAATAGCTGACAAGGCCTTACAGGCCCAAAGGTCATGTCTCTGCCAGTGTAACGCAGCCAGTAAAAGCTGAGGGAAACACAGCGAAAACGTGCTGCCCTTGGTCACAGCAAGGACGTCTCACCTGCTCTCATCCCTTAGGCTGGACCCCTCTCTGGTGTGTGTGTGTGTCTCTTCCCGTTGGGATCAGCAGAGCCTCTGCTGGTGAACTCCAATTACCAGCCTGCAGCCTGACCCCTTCCTACCTCCTAGACTGCAGTCTCCTGTTACAGCCCAGCTCAGTCCCAGACACCCAGAGGGCCCAGAAGCCGCAGACTTGAATAATTACAAGATTTCTGGATGGCAGATGACACGCTCACCTTAAAAGTGACTTTGTAAAAATAATCCTATCTAAGAAAAGGCTAATATGCTAAGTGTCTAGTGGACCCATCGGCCGTTCAACCAATCAAAGTGTCATATGCTAATGATATGCTAAGGCCGCTCAACCGCTCGCTATGACATGCACTGACCACCAGGGGACAGACAGTCGACCAGACAACCAGTCGCTATGATGTGCACTGACCACCAGGGGGCAGAGAGTCGACCTGTCAACCAGTCGCTCTGACATGCACTGACCACCAGGGGGCAGATGCTCAGATCAGTAGGTTAACTGCTGCTGGGGTCCAGCCAATCAGGACTGAGCGAGACAGGCTGGACACACCCTGGAGCCTTCCCACAGTCCCTCCCCAGCTAGCCACCCTCCCACATCCCTCCCGGGCCCTGATCGTGCACCAGTGGGGTCCCTCGGCCTGGCCTGCGCCCTCTTGCAATCCGGGACCCCTCAGAGGATATCGGAGAGCTGGTTTCGGCTCAATCCCACAGGCCAGGCTGAGGCACCCCACTGGTGCACGAATTCATGCACCGGGTCTCTAGTGTCACATAAACAGATAATCTTCCAAAGAGTACAGCATGAAAAGAGAAGGGGAAAAGGGGTAACTTTACAGGCGAGGAATCTAACAAACACCATCTCCACCCAGGTAATCAGAGGTGCTGTCCTAGTCAGCCAGGTTGACAACACTGAGCCTTGATATGATGTGATGAGGATGGCTGGTGTCTTCCTCCCCAAAACACATGATCTCAGTGTAATCATGAGAAGAAAAAAGATACATCCCAACTGAGGGGCACTTTGCAAAAAATGACCAGTACTGCTCAAAACTGTCAAAGCCATAGAAAGCAAGGAAGCCTGAGAAACGGTCATAACCAAGAGGGGCCCAAGGAGACAGGATGACAAGGTCTAATGGGGCATCCTGAAGGAGATGCTGGACGGGAAAGGACAGTAGGTAAAAACTGAAGAAATTCGAATCAAGTGCGGACTTCAGTTAATAATAATGCATCCACATAAGATTATTAACTGTGACAAATATACTGTGTTAATGTAAAGTTAATAAGAAGGAAAACCAGTGAGGGGTATACAGAAACTCTCTTTACTGTCTTCACCGTAATTCTGAAAGTCTGAAACTGTTCCAAAATAAAAATAGTAATCATGATTAAGGTTTTTAAATCACATAAACAGTCAACAACATAAACATTAAAACTTTTGGACAATATATAAATTTGTAACTCTAACACATAGAAAAACAGCAATGAAGGGGAAATATTTGTAGCAAATATGACAAAAGATAATAGTGTATATATGTTTTAAAGTTCATCTATATATATATAAAACCCTAAGCAACCGAATAACCTGTCGACTGGTGGCTATGATGCGCACTGATC